GTGCTGCTCCACCTCCGGGGTCCCTGACCCTGGCGAGGCAGTTAGCGTGCTGCTCCACCTCCGGGGTCCCTGACCCTGGCGAGGCAGTTAGCGTGCTGCTCCACCTCCGGGGTCCCTGACCCTGGCGAGGCAGTTAGCGTGCTGCTCCACCTCCGGGGTCCCTGACCCTGGCGAGGCAGTTAGCGTGCTGCTCCACCTCCGGGGTCCCTGACCCTGGCGAGGCAGTTAGCGTGCTGCTCCACCTCCGGGGTCCCTGACCCTGGCGAGGCAGTTAGCGTGCTGCTCCACCTCCGGGGTCCCTGACCCTGGCGAGGCAGTTAGCGTGCTGCTCCACCTCCGGGGTCCCTGACCCTGGCGAGGCAGTTAGCGTGCTGCTCCACCTCCGGGGTCCCTGACCCTGGCGAGGCAGTTAGCGTGCTGCTCCACCTCCGGGGTCCTTGACCCTAGCTAGGCAGTTAGCATGCTGCTCCACCTCTGGGGTCCCTGACCCTGGCGAGGCAGTTAGCGTGCTGCTCCACCTCCGGGGTCCTTGACCCTAGCTAGGCAGTTAGCATGCTGCTCCACCTCCGGGGTCCCTGACCCTGGCGAGGCAGTTAGCATGCTGCTCCACCTCTGGGGTCCCTGACCCTGGCTAGGCAGCTCTACACTGGATGCCTCTCATGGACTTCTGTGGCCTCCAAACTATCCCCTATAGTCACAACCCAGTCCTCTGGTCTTAAACTTAAGCATAACAGAAATATAAGCAAACTGCTTGCACAAAAGTTTTCCTCCACTCTGGGTCAATACCCCACCACAAACTATACTTCCCCCTTAGTTGTCTTGGTCTACCTGTTGTGGGTAGCTTAGGTGTCCATGGGCCTGTTTACTGCAACCACCTTCCCTGGGAGTTCCTCTCCCTGCAGCATGCAAGGCCCGACTGCTTCTTCTGGCACAGGCCCTGGGCTTATATCTCTCAGAGCCTCACCCCTTCCTGTCATGTTGCTCCCCAGCCACGCACAAGAGCTTCCCATTTACTTAAGGACCAGCCTGTGCTTTTCTACTGCCAGCTTAGCCAGCTGCACTCTCTTGAAGTTACATTTCTCTAAGACATCTTGTGTTCAAGACCGTCAGGCAAAGTGGGCTGTTTGCGGCTCCGACAGAGCACATTGTAAGCCACAGCAGCAAAGCAGCTTATGCCTCTTCTGTCCAACTAAGCGGGGTCTCCAAACTGAATAACCATTGGGTTTAACCTGCATCCGGGCATGCTAAGGCACAGCTTGGAAGCATCCTGCT